AATTAGACATATCTGCATAGTACATACGCATATTATATTGACAAGAATGCCTCCTGAAATTAGTCTAAGATAATCATTGGTTTAATTATAAGTTTGTATGTGCAGACAATTGACGCTCATGTAATAAATACAACGAGCATGTTTAAATCGCGGTTTTAAGATTATTTGTGACACAATTGATACCATCAAAAAACTTTTTTTTGTATTTTTAAATAGTCAGCGACCTGATGCGGATATAACAAAACAATGTACGACTTATGGTCAGCGCGTATATTGGCCGGGATAAAAAAATTGTATGTACTTCCCCGACATTTAAAAGACATCCTATTTGCGAATTGCGCGCCAGTTCCTAGTCACCTCTTATTGTATTCCGTGAAAAGATGAAGACGTATTTTACCTTAACGAAACGTGCCTAATCGCTTGGAAAAAATGGCGAACAAAAGTGCAATCGCGTTTTTTTTACTCCATTGTAACAAACGGAGCAATGGAAGCACACTACTCAGAACTAGTAGAAAAGTAGTAGAAAAGTATTGCCATCTAAATTTGTGTGAAAGACCGTCTGTGGGATCTTTTTATACGCCTCATGACGATGCCACAGGGATGTCTTATATATTTATGTGTTTTAGAAGAACGATTACTATACAATATCCATACCAGTGCTTATTAAATATGTTATTTCGTTATAAATTAGTTTTTACTAATTACAAACTACATTTTAGATAAATTACATTTTTCGTGTTGTCTGTTATTACAGACGTGCTATCTATTATAACTTTTTGTACCCAAAGTAACATCTTTTTGATATAACTTCATTATTAAGTCCACTTACATTCACGCTCATTGTAGATCTCTACTAAAACTGGTCTATTGAGTGACACTAAATCTGCTTAGATATTATCCGAAACTTGAATATGTAATTGGATATTACAATCAGTAGAAGTAAACAATTAGCAATTTTCAGAACTATTGATTGGTTATCGGTAAGGATCGATAATCGATGGGGAAGAAAGGTTCTCGAGTGAAAGCCTCGTACTGGCCATCGTAATGTAGAACAACAACCCGCTAGGTGGAGTGACGACCTGTGCAAGTGTGCGGAAAGTCGATGGGCGCAGGTGGCTTAAGATCATGCTTCGTGGCGGTCTGTGAGGCCTGTGTTCAGCAGTGGACTCACACAGACTGAATTGATGATGATGATGATGATTGGTAAAACTATCTTTAGAGTACAAGGAGCAATGTTAAATAAAACAGAATTAAAATATTTGGCTATTTTTTTTGTTTTATTTAAATTCCAGCGTTTTATTTTAATAATACCCGGCGTAAAATGGTTTTCTCTTGAACAATGAGTAAGCAATACTGCATGGAAGCAAAAAGTGATTACTAGGTAACGTATGATAACGAATTTATTAAAGGCTCATTGTTAGGGTTCGTGACTGCTCGTCATGTTGACCGCACCGGTATAGGAGATTAGGGTTTCCCGTACTTTCCATAAGGAACTTAAACAAATTTACCACCCGGTAAAGTTTTTAATGTTATTCACAAATTGCATATGAAAACAATAAGGTATTAAATTATTAATTTTACTATACATCAATATAATTATCGTCAGCCGAAAAATGCCCACTACAATTTTACATATACATTAGTAATTTTTTTGGGTATTATAGTCCTCATTCTTTAACTTTTTTTGTCGTTGATGACGATATTTTTAATTTTGCTTCTAATTTTTGTGTGGCAAATCTTAGGCAGAGTTGACTTTTGCAACAACAATACTACGGAAGATGCAGATAAATTGCCTGTGTTTCTAAAAAATATAGGCGATTGTTGAAAAAATATATCATATTGTTATATTAAATAAATGATATATTTATTTTTTATTACTTCTTAAAGCATCTCACGTAAGATTAATCTCTTTTTTTTCTACAAGTTTTAACATTGCTTCAAATGCTAAAAAAAACAATGTAGATAAAAGAGGTTAAGATTTTCGTCGGTGTGCCAATCAGCCGTTAAGCTTAATGGCTAAAGCGTTAGGCCGCGAATGCCGAAGACGTGGGTTCGATTCCCACAGCGGCGACAACCTTTTCGTACATTTTCTACAAATTTTAATACATTATATTTCATTACACCTATTACTCGTACATTTTCTACAAATTTTAATACATTATATTTCATTACACCTATTACTCTTTTGGCTTTTATTTGAGAAGGTGGCAAGCGAGCTGATGGTACTTCAAGTGGCAACAGCATCCGACACATCCATCACCTCATCAAAACATATCAGCATTTGTTGGGTAGCAGATGCGTTGCCACGGCCCCAGTAACTTCACCAGACGATGCACAGAAGTATATATATGGTACGTGGTACGACCCTTGGAATATCTGCTTTCCAAAAAAAAAAATCAAAATCGGGTCATAAACGACGAAGTTATCCGAGAACACACATAAAAAAAATAAAAATATATGCGGTCGAATTGAGAAAACTCCTTCTCTTTTGAAGTCGGTTAAAAATTTAGAAATCTTTATGTTGTTTTATCCTTCATAAGGATTAGAGAAATTATTTTAGAACTCTTTAGTCCGTTATAAAAATATGGTTCCTTTTTTAAGATTATTATTATTAATAATATAATATTTTACAATGAAATATTTGAGAACTAGGGATGGCACCTTTGCTATCGAAAATGTGGTAAATTTTGATAGTGTTATTCTCTACACTCAAGATGGAATTCAAAAATTTGTAGAAAAATGGACGAAAAGTTTTTCGCCGCTGTGGATTTATACCTGCTTCCTGAGGATAGCGCGCTCAAAAACTTTGCTATTAAAATTTTTAAATAATGTAAGTTTAAAAAAAGTTTAACTTTTTACATTATAAAAACGTAAATTTTTATAATTGTGTTATTTTCTGAACTCAAGATGAAATTTAAAATATTGTAGAAAAATGGAGGAAACTTGCTTCCTCCGGGATACGCGCTCAAATTATCTCTCGATCGTTACATCAAAAATATATTTTATTGTTTAACATACCATTATTATATGAACATTATTTACAATTAAAGAAAATTCTATGCCTCAAAAATTACCTTTCGGCTTAAAATTTGCAAGAGTGGCTTCTTTACAGAGAATTCGTTCAATACCTTTGCGAATATGCATATATTAAATTTGTTCGAAATAATATTTTAATTAGTTCTCGGATAGGTGCGTGGTAAATTACCGCTTAAAATTGTTCACAGTTAATTTTTTACGTCATCATCAAAATTAACTATACCAAATCTCTCAAACAAATTCTAGAATTCTTCGGATATTAGTCATCGATACCTTATTATTGTCATTAACTTCGGGGATTGTGCAAAATATTGTAATGAAGTCATTATATGTGATTATGTATATCTTTAACAACGATTAATTGATTAATTTACTAATAGAGTGAACGTCATTTGTTATATATAAATATGCTACGATTTAACGGCAGTCATATTCATTTGTTTTAAGCTACATTGAGTACATCTAGTGTACAAAAATCATTTGATTTATTTGTATAAAAAACTGCAAATTAATTTGAAGGAAGTAACAGTCGAATTTGGAGTTACATTGACAAAGTAAGTTTCTTTTACTTAGTTATTACTGTTTTGTATAGAATGGTTAGAAAGTTTGAAACCGAATAGTTATGGTGCAGTCATGCTAGAACTTTTGCTATAGTGCGAACGTATGGGCACATCCCATACTTTTTTTTATTTCTCAAAGCTGTTTCTGTCGGTACGCTATAACTTCAAATGTTATGAATCAAACACTATTTCAAAGCTTATATATATCGCTATTGACAAAAAATAGATAAGTAGAATAAAGTTAATTTTTATATACAAAAAAACTTTCGTTATAATTTTCTTATAAAGAATCCATGATAATGCGATCTACTGATAATCTGTTTAAATGAAAGACGAAGCGAAGTAAAATGAAGTTAATTGTTATTCTACTCAATAAGATACTTTTCATTAATAAATACTTAATGAATTAATATTATTTCAAAAACTTAAAAAATAATTCAAAAATATATCCATTACTATAATATTATAAATGCGAAAGTAACTCTGTCTGTCTGTCTGTCTCGCTTTCACTCTAAAACTACTGAACCGATTTAAATGAAATTTGGTACACAGATAGTCTAGAGCCTGAAAAAGGACATAGGTTATTTTTTAATTGGATAAAGGTTTTGTAAAGGGTTAAAAGATATTTATTTAAGGGCTTCAACGCGAGCGAAGCCGCTAGTAAATTAATAATATTCATTGAGAAGGACGTAATTTGCCGTTCAATTATAAAGAAATAAATAAAGCCAAACAAAAGTACAAAAAGCCACACAAATTTAAAGTTTTAAATGGATTATATGTTTGTTGTATTATTAAAATTATTTTAGACATGAGGTAATAAGAGCAATATTCGTGTTCAACATTTCCTGTTTCACTTAAAAAATAATAGCGTCTGCCTGTGTGCCTGTAAAAACATTTTATGGCATTATTTTTATTAAAATTAATTGTTTTACTCTTGGCGTATTTATGGAATAAGGAAGTATTTTTTATTATTATTTTTTCTGTAATTAATTCAATTTAAACCTCATAATATTATCTAAGTTTTACTCCTGCTTCATTCAAAGTTTATTTACAATATTAAACATTAGTATATAATGTAACAAACCAATTGTTAATCATATACTTGTTATAAAACCAGTAACAGATCTCATCCAACATGGAGTAATATCTTTCCTAAATAATATATTCGTACTATTTGTCACATTATCTGAAATAATGTCAATAAAGGTTATTTACACGTTTACGTATGTTATAAAACAGTATTTAATGAAATCAGAAAAAAGTTTCTCATTACTAGTATATGAGCTGGTGATTTACACATCTGTGTTAAAAAAATTAAAAAATCAATGCAAATATGATTTTAAACAGAATGTCCAAATTTTAACTATGAACATTGTAATTTATTTACGAATGTATTTGTTCCAGATGAACCAGAAAATCGTTTTAACGCTCGTAGCTTTCCTTACCGTCCAAAGTTTAGTCACAACTTTTGGCTCCTTGGCCCAATTGAATGAACCGAACCAGAACGATTCTGCCGGCGAAGCGAACGTGTCAATGGACCTGACTTCGATACTCCCTATAGTGGCAATGGTAAAAGGCCAGGTCAAAGAAATCGTGCTCGATCTGGTGTCACAAGTTTTCCAATACATACGCGCCATCGTTCAAGAGTGCAAAGTGCGTTTGTTGAGGAGACTCGGAAAATACACGCTTTCCGACGTTTTCCACCTAGTTTTTGACGGTGTAATAGAATTTGTCAATGAAGAGACGACGATGTCCACAACCACGGAACAACTTTACGGAGAGCACACCAAAAACTACGACCACAGTTCAAGCGTCGAACGAGAACGTATACGACTCCGAAAGTAGTAGACGTGTATACGATGAGAACACCTACGACTCCGAAAGTAGTAGACGTGTATACGATGAGAACCCCTACCTTTGGTCTCTATATCATAAGTGAATCCACGTACGCTCAGTTAATGTTAGTTATATAAAATATTATTAAGATAAATTTAACGTCTCATAAATAAAACATTTTAAAAATACTGCTTCTTTTTGTTTTTTATTCAACCGAAAGTCGACATGATTTTCTTGAATTAAATTTTTATATTTCGTTATTACGAAAATAGTTAAAAAAAAAAGAAAAAGTGATCTTGTCTCTAATGTAATCTTAGATGGTAAACGCTCTAGCTCAGTAAAAGTTTGTTTACTATTATTGCCTTGCAGTGTCAAGTATTAGTGAAAACATATCAGATATTTTCATTTGGTTCCAGAAAAAAAAGCCATCCGAGAACTCAAATTTAATTCAATTTATCTTTATTCAATATAGAAGAATTACACTTACTTATTGATTGTCAAAAAACACTAGTACAAACACTAAACACTTTAGACATTTTTATTTATGTTAAAAATATTTTAAACGTCCAATTTTTATGCTCTAGATTTGAAATTATAAATATTAGTATTATCTACCGACTTAAAGAAATGAATTGATGGTTTAAATATTAGTGTACTCAATGAAGATTCGAATGTTTAATTAAAACACTGACACTTTTCTAAGCGCCTATCATAAAGTGAATAGCAAATAATATTTCAGTGTTCTTGTACTTCAAGACGAAGATACGTTTAATAAAAATAAATTAATTCAATATATGTTATAATGAAAGAAGAGTTATTATTAATAAAACATGTTTCATTTGCGTTGTTTTTTTCATGTTGCACTGTTCTTTGAGATTAATTAATTGTTTATATATAAAAAACTTACTGTTGCCCGCGACTACGTTAGAGAGTTCCATCCCTACTACTGTTCACCTACATGTACTTCCAGTGTCTGGGTACACATCCAGGTACACATGTAGTTATCTATAAAATGTATTTAATAACAAAAGTGTGTTTATTATTTTATTACCCATAGTAAAATATTTGCTTGTTTTGGAATAAAATTCTTCTACTTTATGCCATGCAGAAGGTAAGACCGTAGTACTTCTGAGGACGAGCCTGCCCATTCGTACAACAGCGGAAGCAGCTGTGTAACAGAATTCGTGGCTTACCTCGCATGTATGAAAGTAGTATATCTTAGATGAAATATCTCTATTATAATATTACACATGACGTCGATATCATCTGTTCAATTTATTTGTACGTATTATCAAGGCCTGTTAAAGTCAAATTGACGAACACCTAGAAGCGGTCAAGGGGCTCGTGAGACGTAACAGAAAAGTAATGACGATGAGCGCGTCAACATATTTGTATTCAATGTCCTCTGAGAAAATTGGGTGCGTTTGAGAGCGAAAATCTGTTTGATAAAAAAGTTAAGTAAAAACCTACTCGTATATAAGTCCCAATGTTGGGTAAAGGCGTATCCACGCGAACTCACTGTGGATTGACGGACTTGCCATATCTTCGAAATATTTTTTTTTTCATAAACATGTAGATTTCCCTCACGATGTTTTCTTTCACCGCTGAGCACGTGTTAAATCAGCATTTAAAATTGACAATTTCATTGGTGCCGGCGCTGGAGATCGAACTCAGGTTTCTTCGAGCACATGGAATTAAAAGGGAGCGCCCGGACATTTAGCTTTCATGGATCCACCTTGCTTAATGCGTTTTTTTTATAGGAAAATGAAAAATAATTACCAAGAGTATAGATAGAAATTTATCAATTCGGAGAGTTTGCCATTCCCTTTGGCAACGACATGACATTTAAAAAGCAGCTGATTTAGCCATTTAACTTCTAGGATGATCAATGTTTCAGAATCCGGGCGTAAGAATCATATCTATTTGTTGTTAAGAATTACGTCTCAGACATTAGAATGTCTATATTAATACTTTAATGCAAAATATTTGACGAATATATTTGCTATTTTATATAAGCAGGTGCCTCAGACTATCGGCATTTGTAATATAGACATGGAATCAAATCATATTGAAGTTTCACACTAAACTTGAACATAAATTGCATTATCTTAATTCACAGTATAAAGGTATTTCAAAAAGTAAAGTTTTATTTTATGTCCATTAGTTTGTTTTAACCTCGAAACTAGGATAGGAATTGTTGAGATCTTTGTCAGAGTAGCAATTTATAAATTTGAAAATAAAATCATATGACTTTTATTTATGAAAATATCTATTTGATTATGTTACATAAAAACGTTAAAGACGAAAAATTTTAAAAATTAACATCAAAAAATTTTAACACATTTTAAATTTTTTGTCCTAATTTAAGGTCAAGTCCACCTAAAGGACATTTCGCAGTATATTACTTTCAAATTACATTAGTTCCTCTAAGTTTCTATATGTACTTACGAAATCAAATTACAATTGAATTTTATTTTAATGTGTACTTTGTAATGAAATCTAATCAAATCAATTATGAATATAGTAAGCTCATAGGACTCGGGTGCCCTTCTCAAAACCTTTTTCCGTGATAAGAAATTACTATTATATTAATTTAGCAGGCAGCTGAGTAATCTATCAATTTTCGAAATTTAAACATAAATAGTGGATACATAATAATTATACCTACAGATCAATCAATCCAAATCTATTTATGAATCGACTGTACTTAGGTCTTGCGCCTCAGTTTATATTTTACGTGTAACGTTCTACATAATGGTTTCTTTTAGATTTTCGGAAAGTAAGTTCCTTTGAGTATCATTTGAAAATTACGAAAATCCACGCGGATTTGCTATCGTCAGCTTTGTAACAAAGGCTTGGTTTAAATCATAGCGACTTGACCCTAGCGGCTTGGCTTGGGAGTTGTAAGCCTGTGATCAGGTGCATAAGTGTAATACATAATTTTGAATCGTATTGCATTGCTATTATTTTCCCTTAGGCGTCGAACTTAAAGATTTTTATGCTGAATACATCTGCGCCTATAATTCTCTATTAAAGTTGGTTTGACACATTCGAAACAATTTATGAAACATATTTTACAGTTCATGGTATTTACTTTTAGTTCAAGAGTTGATGTTTATTTTCATACATCCTTTAACTCGAGCAGTTGACTTAAGATATCTATAAGATATCTATATTCCATATATTCCTATAACCTTTTAATGCCCGTAATCATACAAAAAATTGTAAAGTAAATTAGTATTTTAAAATACATTACCAGGTTTATAAAATACTAATTTACTTTATTTACATGGTTTGCAATTGCTGTCAATAGACATCTGCCGTAATCGTTTGGTCAGATTTTAGAAAGCTGTAGTGAACGAAGTTCTGAGTCAATTCAAATCTCAATTCGTTTCGGGCTGGATTTGGCTGGTTCTCCAGGGTTCAGCTATTACGACGAGCGCTTCCAATTATCGTACAGTATCCACTTTTCATCACAAGTAATGATTCGATTTAAAATCCTTTCATTATTGTGTCGGTTGAGCAAAGTAAAACAGCAATCGACGCGTGTTTGCAAGTTCGATTCACTCAATTCATGAGGTTTACCCATCGTTCAAGTTTTTTTTTTACTTTCCCGATTTGCTTCAAGTGGATTAATACGGTTTTAACACTTACCCCGAAGCCTGCAGCTATCTCTGAAGTGCTTCATAGATCCGCTTCCACAATAGATTTGAATTCTTCATTTTCCACTTTGGTCTCCGGCCGTCCACGGAGTTGGTTTTGAAGGTCGAAATTTCCAGAACGAAAACGTTGAAACCAAAAACGTACCGTACTTTCTTTTGCGACACCAGCGCCGTACACATCATTAATCCTTCAAGCTGTTTCTGCAACACTGGTGTCACGGTACGAATACGTGGTACGAGTTCGACACGTAAAGCGACGCGAAGGAATAAAATAATGAGGAAGAAACGAATGAATGGTGTCAAAACTCGAATGTACCGGCTAAATCAATTTATAAATTTGAATTTGGAATTCTTTACGTAAGAGGAGATATTTCAGATCAAAATGGTTAGTACGACAAAACGCTAATTTCATATGTAAGGACCTAATACAAAAGCATATGGTTCTTGGTATCTTTCACCTGGAAGGAGGACGCCCGACACTACGTTTTCCGAGACGTGGTCTCCATTCGAGCTCCAAACCGTCAGTCCCAAATCCCAACCAGCTGATATGGTAACCAGCCCCAAACCACTATATGTCCAATAAAACAATCCCGTTTTCAAAACTACCAAATATTAATTAGAAAACAAAACACTGGCGGATTATTTGTCAGATGGAAGGAGTTGGCTTCGCTAATGAAAGAAAATATTTTAACGAATATAAAGAAACGAGGTCGAAATATCATGACGGTTTTATTTTACACTTGTTTCGGCCTAGCTCACATTTTTCTAAGTGTCAAGAAACTTCTTGCTTGCATCTAGTTAAAAGAGCACTTTCAATTGAGACTTGGACATTATCGTGCTTATTAACATGTATGAATATCTGGATATTCAATTATGTAACAAAAAATCTCGATCAATTTACAGTAAATATTTTCAGCACTTCGGGATATTTAAAATATAACACATTGATACACCAGTTTTTGCTACGATTACTGTAACATTTTAAGGAATGTTTGTAAAATGTATCCTCCATTGTAAGGTTAGTTATGAACAAGGACGAAGTAGCTTAAAGAATGATGCTTGGACAAGACGACAGCCAACTGCTGTTTCCAATAATAACCTTAGATTTGTTCACTAACGTTTTATGCATCCCGGGATGAAAATCTTAGTGCAAGAAAGGCTACTTTAATACTGTTTATTCCTTATCAGGAAAAGAAAATGCCCATGTAAGCAATGTGGAGGTTAATTTTAGAAGTTTCTTTTTTAATTTGAGAAGGACGCAAACAAGCCGGCGGGTGACCTGATATCAAATTATAACCGCCACCCATATCTGCAACACCCATAGGATTGCAGATGCGTTGCCAC